TGAAAAGGAAAAAAAAAAAAAAAAAAAGCTAGGTTCAAGAGAGCATTATTACTTGTCAGATTTTATATTGCCAGAGACTTGAATGTTGATTTTCATAGTCTTGACGTGAAATAGAAATTTCTCTCTAAAATACATGCTTCTTCCTGTGACTCTTAGTTTAGAATCAGAAGCTGTGGTAGCCATTAATGAATTTTTTGGTTGCAGAGCTGTGTTCTGGTCTTGAGATTGTGCTTGGTGATGCCCAGGCAATAATGTACTTTTGGTCTAAATACTCAAATAGAGCAGGGCTGGTTGTCTATTTAACTTGCTTCAGTATAGGTCTCAGCTAAGCACCAGGCAGGTCATAGTGCTTGCAGATACTGGTTCGTGGTAAGAGCTTGAACAGTTGAATTTCCCTAACAAGGCAGGAGGTTTTAGTGAAAATGGCATAGAGGTAGGATTCAGGGTCTGTCTCTGGGGTCTGGTACCCAAAATATCAATACAACTCACCTTACGTATGACACTTTGGAGGGAGCACTTTAGTTTTCGAGGTCCTAGTTTCCACATGTGCAAAACAAAGAAATTGGATTTGATGAACTCTAAGGTCTCAAGTAAATACAGAATTTCTAGGAAGTGAGGATAGTTTATGTTGCAAGGCAGGAGAAAAGTGCACCCCATTATTGGTCAGGGACCCATAGGGCAAATGACAGCCTCTGCCATTTTTGGAGAGAACCAAGAAATCAGCAATATCATTTGCACCTGTAGTACTTGCTGCAGACCTGATGAAGCATATATTTTTGCCCGGAGGGAATATAGGATGCCTGCAGATTACCTCCTCATATGCCCAGTGTAATGGACCAGCAGCAATATGAAAAAATATGGCTGGCACTGAATTGCTACTTTGTGATTTTTGTATTCTTTACTTCCCACTTGACCTTTCCAGAGCTGAATAAGTAAGAACAACTTTAAATTCCCACAGCGAACACTTCTAATCTGGAAAGGCAAAAATCTTGCAGTTGCAACCTAATTTGACAAATGTCGGGAAGAGAAACATCTCAGGGAGGCTGTGAGAATGACAGAAAAGAAAATGTGTGATTTTCCATCTTGTAATCACACGCTGTCAAAAATTAGATGTTTTTCGTAGAAGAATTTGATTCGAGATGGGGATGATACACATTTCATTTATATTAGCCAGGATTTTCATTGATTCTTTTTTTTTTTCAGTTGTCCAGTAAGAAAGAAAAGGCTAACTGAAGCAGGGCTCTGTGCTGGTCCTAATGACTGGATTCTTTGTGCACATCAGGATATAGAGGGTCATGGAGTAAATCCGTGCACTAGTGGCCTTTCTGCACCTGGCATGTTAGATGTTATTTGTGAAGAGATGGATCAGACAACGGGAGAACCACAGTGTGAAGTTGCCCGAAGGAGGCTTCAGGAAATTGAGGACAGGTAAATGGGCAGCATGTATCTAGCTGCTTATTATTGTTCCTATGTAACATCTCTACTCTTTCAATTTAGTGTAATTCATCATTTGGTGATTCCTTGATCCTCAACGTATCAGACTATAAAATCAGAAAGCTCAAAGTATACACTTTAAATGTTAAAGTAAGCTCTTCTCATAGAACTGTACTAAATATTTTCACTTACTATCTCTGAATATTAATTTTTGGTATGAGGGTTTTTAGGGACACATTCTTCAAATTTGATTGCCTCTAATGTAAAACATTTTGGTTAAATGTTGAACGACTCTTTTGTGTATACTTCTTTCTCTCAGGTATAGTCTCATATTTTACTTGATATTTTGCTGTAGCATCTGTTGCGTTTACCCTTGTTTTTATTTTTTAAATTTTGTCCAATTAATAGAACATATAATAGCTTAACTAAATAATTTGTCTTTCTTCCTTCGCTTCTGTCTTTATTTAGAATAATAGACGAAGATGAAGAAGTTGAAGCTGACAGAAATATTAACCATCTTCCCAGCCTTGTCCTTTCTGATACCATGAAAACAGGTTTGAAGAGGGAATTTGATGAAGTCTTTACAAAGAAAATGATTGAGTCCATGTAAGTTTTGGTTTCTGGTTTCCATTCAGTTATGATCTTGGAGGGAAAACCCAGTCTCTAGACACTTCCTGATCGCCAACCAAGTGAAAGCACAGTACATTTGTATTCAGCCCAGTTTGGAGACCTTTTCTTAGTTCATTGGGATGAGCAAAATGCTATGCAAGCAGGAGTTGGCTGCCTTGTGTACACAGCCCTGGGTTGTTTTGAAGTCCTAAAATGCACTAATAGTCTAATATTTGGAAATGGGAGAATTGGCAAGAAAGAACCCATTCTCATATGTATATGTGTAGCTGATTCACTTTGTTATACAGCAGAAACTCACACACCATTGTAGAGCAATTATACTCCAATAAAGAAGTTAAAAAAAAAAAAAACCCATTCTCTCAAATACCTATGATAGGATGTAGGAACCACATTTCAAAAGTACCTTTTACCTGGCTCTCTCAGTTATCTAGGACCACTATTAGGACCTAGGAAACAAAAGTCTCCCAGCAGTCAAAAAAGTTATCACAAAGGCCACAATCCACAGCTCATATTCTTACCTCATAGTGTGTAGCCCCTCAGGCCTTTAGCTCTAAGAGCCATTTTGCACTTAGTTTAGACCCAGTTTGATCAGCTCAGTTATCTGGTTTCCTCAGTCATCAGAGTAGAAACACAAAAACAGCAGAACAGACAAACTCATAGTAGTCAATAGTGACAGTACAGTGTGAGAACAGGAGAGGCAACTGGAAAGCAAACATAAGAACCTGAAAAGCAAAGCAGCCTGGAGCCCATTTACATAAAAACTAATGACAGCCCTGTAATTCTTGTAGTCCTTGAGCTTAGATGATTTCAAGTGGTCATTACCGACTCTGTAAAGTACAGTTGTCTCTTAATATCCGTGGGGAGATTGGTTCCAAGACCCCCTGCAGATACTAAAATCCAAAGATGCTCAGTTTCCTTATATAAAATGGTCTGGGGGCTTCCCTGGTGGCGCAGTGGTTAGGAATCCGCCTGCCAGTGCAGGGGACACAGGTTCGAGCCCTGGTCTGGGAAGATTCCCACATGCCGCGGAGCAACTAAGCCCTTGTGCCACAACTACTGAGCCTGCGCACTAGAGCCTGTGAGCCACAACTACTGAGCCCGCATGGCATAGCTTCTGAGGCCCGCACGCCTAGAGCCTGTGCTCTACAACAAGAGAAGCCACCACAATGGGGAGCCCACGCACTGCAACGAAGAGTAGCCCCCACTCGCCACAACTAGAGAAAACCACGCAGCAATGAAGACCCAACACAGCCAAGAATAAGTAAATTAATTAATTAATTAATTAAAAAAATAAAATGGTCTGAATCAAAAACCCACAGATACAGAGGGGCAACTGTAGTAGGCAAGTTATAAAGTGCCATTTAGATGTTGCCTAGAAAAGACTTCAGATAGACTTGGTACTCAGTGAGGGTAAGTGTCAGATATCTGAAAAATTCTCTTAGGATACCAGTCCCACTGATGCCAGGTAGATGGGGCAGTATTGTCTTTAGACACAGTGGGTTCCACTGCTGCTTGATGTTAGCACACAAGGGTTTTGCATTAGCCTCCTAGCTTGATCTTATAATTCTGACTACCTAGCCCTTAGGGTGGGTAAATAGTTTAGCCAAGAGTAAGCAGGTCACATTGCCCTCCAGCCTAAAACATAGCACTTTCTGCTCTTGGTAGTTTTCCAGAAGCTAGCCTTGTGTGTGTGGGGGTGTGTTCTTCATTGTTTGTGTTTTATTTTTCCTTACTTGCCTTTGGGTCCCAGAAACCATCAAACCATCACTAGATGGAGAGGGCAGCGAGGGGGTGGGGTAGGCACAGACAGTGGCTTACTGCAAAAAGCATTATGTTTCATAGCTGTACTAAGCAAAAGGCATACTGAGATATTTTTAGTGTGTTTGGCCAGTGTTTCTTTTTCATTTATAATGGTTTAGTACAATATAGTAGTTCACATCTGCTAATATTAACCACAGTTTAAGAAAACACTATAATAAATCAAGGGCCTCTGTTTTTCATGTTGAATGTTTATATTCTAATCACAGCATCAGTACAACCAGTTGGTTTGCTTAAAAATGCATGCAGAACTGTAAAATTTAATGTACTTGAGTGGCCTTTGTAAAAATCAATTTGGATTGTCATAAATCTATTTAATCCCATCCGTTTTTAGATGTTAGGTAGCAAACATTAGTTTTTCAATGTATATCTTTTATTTTCATGTTATAAAATTATTGATAAAAATCTGTATTTTATGTCTTAGGAGCCGTCCTTCCATGGAGCTTGTGCTCTGGAAACCTCTCCCTGAACTCCTTTCTGATAAGCCAAAGCTGTCATCTAATGCTAAGAACTACACAGGAGAGAGCCAAACTAAGCATGCAGCTGCTGGCACTGCCTACCCTCAAAGAACTGAACTGTTCTTGGAACCTCGGCAAACAGGGTTGCCTGTTTACACTAGTTTGGAGACAGCTGCTTGCACAGAAGAAGAGATGGAACTCTAGACACCAGTTTCTATACTAAAGTTGTCAAATTTTAGAAGGCTTATGTGTTCAGTCATGAGCCTGCTTGTACAGTATAGGGACTTGAAAGTTTTGAAACGGGTGTAATAGCTCCACCTGTGATTTGGGGTGCGACTCTCATTTTGGGTAGCCATTTCTTGAATTCAACTTTTGCCAAGGAAACTTGTCTCAAGGGAAAAGCAGTTCTCTAGGGGTCTTATTAAAGGAATAAGGAGTACATTCTGCAAAGTCAAGTATAGAAGCTATATGTGTAAGCATGACTTTTAAGTCATCTGTCACATTGTCTATATCATTCAGATACTTGAGTTGAAAAAGATGCATTAAGGAAGTAGGATGCTCTCCTACTATGTGTACTTCGACAGTCGAGCCACAACTTCATCTGTAGATAATGAGCTCTGTTTACAGTGGTGACTATATATGATTGGGGAGAAGGAGGAAGGAGGCAGTAGCTTAAGCCTATGCTGGGGAAATTAACAGAGGCTCTGAAACCTGTATATTAGTTGTCAATTCAGTGTAGTTATATTGATTAAATAGCCAGTAGCCTTGTGGCTCCCCTCTTTGCCTCTGAAAATGCAATGAAAAATACAAAGAAAAGGTTTTTCCTTTGAGGCTCTTTTGCCTTGTGCTACTGTTGCTCCTTGGTTTCCCTTGCATAATCGATAAGCCCAGCTATTCAGTAATGTTTACAGCTTAATTAACTTTGAGTGATAGTTTAAAAGGTTGTGAGGTAAACCATGTGCGAATTGGCTCTGGGAGAAGCATCCCTCAGGTAATCCTGGGGCAGTGCTGTATCAGCTAAGCCCAGCATATAACTTCTGTAGTTAAAAAAAAAAGTTGTGCCTGTATAAGCAAGTTGAGTTTTTTAATGTTAATTTAGAAAACAGTGACTGAATAATTAGCTGAGCACATATGGGCAAGTGACATTGAGATTTACTGAAATAGCCAGTTTGCCTATTGTTTCAACTATGGTGCAGTAAGCCTAAAAGTTAGAGAATAGCTTCCTGCTAGCAGGAAATCTTCATCTTGAGGACCTTAACCAGGCTCAAGGCGTCCTCTGAGGGTAACCAGGATTGAAGTTTTTTATTTCTCAGGAAGAGCTCTTCTGCGTGGCAAGGACTCAGTAGTACGAAGTAAAATGACAATTTCTTTAGTGCTACAGAATATCCACTATAACTTATTGAGTGTAATACTAGCTCTTTTATCAGACAATGGGAGACCACCCCAGTTCTTCCTGTTTTGTTTTCTGGGTTTCTTTTGCCTTTGTTGGAATCAGATACCTTGTGTAGAAAACATGGTTTATGCCAAGTAGAGGTGACTTTAGGAGGCAGCTCCCAGGCAATTTTGAAACCCATGCCGAAGTCCCTCCCCTTTTTACAGATGGCATAGAAGTCACAAGTCTGTTAACTGGACTGTTTCTTCTGCCTGTTGTTCCTGCTTTCTCTATTTCTGTCTGGATAGTCAGGAAAAGATTTAATGTTTAATATTTAAACAAAATATTTAATGTCTACACAGTAAAATTATTCAAACTTCAAACCAGTATTGAAACAGTTGGAAACCAGCTAATAGTTTCTTAATCTCAGATTTAGAGATGAATGTAAACTGTATTCTGTTGAAACGTACAAGTGTTTGATTCATGCCATTTAAAAAACTCCTGCCTCTAGGTAATTGTTAATGGGACCAACTTGTAAAGTTTGTAGCCTTAAAGAAACCTCCATGCATTTGTTCTGCTACAGCTCAAAAACATGAAGTGACTGTGTAAACTGTTCTGTTGAAACGTACAAGTGTTTGATTCATGCCATTTAAAAAACTCCTGCCTCTAGGTAATTGTTAATGGGACCAACTTGTAAAGTTTGTAGCCTTAAAGAAACCTCCATGCATTTGTTCTGCTACAGCTCAAAAACATGAAGTGACTGCCTGGAATTTGGAGTTAGTCCCAGTGTTCAGGTGAAGGAGAGGTGACAGCTTTCCAAAGAAGGACCCAAGCACACTAACACTGTCTTCTATAGGGATTGTTGGGCAGGCCTGGGATCCAGGTCTGTACAGTGAACAGGAGGAAAGAAGAGCTCTGAAACAAGGCTCAGATACCACGGGTATATGTAGGAGAGAACTAATAAGATTATTAAGATCCAAGTAGAACTTGTTTCAGGAGTCATTTTACCTGACATAATCATTATTTCTGCAGGAAGCATGGATGTTCAATGCTCCTTTTTAAACTTTATCCTGCATATATGTTTGTACAAAAATTGTCTTCATCCATGTGGTGCTTACTCATCTGAGCCGTCTCCACAGTCCCCATGCCTCTGCTTTGTTTTTCTTTTGTAGAGTAAGGCTTTTGCTTTTGCCTTAAGGTTTCCCTAGGGAATTAACAGGTCTTTTCATTTTGTACAGCTTTTGCAGCATGGATCAAACATTGGCTTACTATGCTAATGTGTGAAGAGAAAAAATTATCTAAAGCAGGTGAGCTTTAATGAACAAATGTGTATTTTCTCTGAGTTTGATTAGGGTGTGTGTGGTTTTGTTTTTTTTAATTTCATATGAAGAAAGTTAAGTGTGGTTCTCACAGATATGAATCAAATAAAAATTGCTACTCATTCTTGAAAAGGTGCAAATGTAAAATTTAAAAAATGAGTGGAAACTAGAACCATGAGAAAAATGTTCACCAGTGGGTTCATTAATTATTTTGTATCTGGAACTTGGTTTTGTTTTTTAATAGTGAGAAGGATGGTGGAGTACTTGGAAAGTTGTGGAAGATGCTGTTAGTTTTACTTTAAAATGAGAATCTGGTGTTTTTGTATTTTGTTTTCAATAAAACTTAAGTGTTTTGGACTATTTGAGATATTGTGTTCCTGCACGTAAGTAAATGAAATCAAGTTTGGGACCTTTAAAAATAGGGAGTAGGGAGTAGGAAAATTCCTCTAGATGTCCAGTTACATGGTCATTCCTTTCTTGAGTTGACAGGTCACCGGGTGGCGGTATTGCATGCATATTTACAACCATTAGTTGATAAATGTGGATTCCTGATTTGCGGGCAGGCAGAGTTTGAGTTGCGGCTACAGAAAACTCAGGATATTGTTTTCTTTACCAAAATTTGGAAATCACAGCTAAAAGTTATCTATTTTTATAGATTTGGAAACTAAGCCTAAGTAGATAGTGACAACTTAGTATAATAATCCAATTCACCAGGTCCAGGGTTCCTACTTGACCAGTGGTCTTTTTACAGCAATACCTAACATGTTTAGGTTTCATTGAAATAATCTACAATAAAGTATGGTTCAGGCAGTGTAACTTTAAACTCCTTGAGGGAATATAGTTTTGTATGTATCAGTTTGGTTCAAATATTCTACTAGTGGCATTTGAGAGATGAGCTACATGCAGTTATGTGGTGTTAGACTATAGCTCCAGCAAGACAGGAATGTTGTCTTTCAGCAACTGGTTAGTGGGTAAACAAGCCAGTCTTCCTGTCCCTAATTAACTTTAGAAGTCAGAGGGTAAAGATTTAATCTTAGAAGATTAGAATTTGATGCCATAAAATATTCTTGGAGTAGGAGGTATTAATTACCTCTGCCTACAGTTCTGTCCCTACTTTGCCTGCTCCAGTAACACACCTAGTAGAAAAGCAGAGAAGCACACATTGGTGTTACAAGGCCCAGGGAAATGGTGTACAGGTATCTGTCACCTGCTTGAGTTATGGACAACCTTCTGCATTTAATAGAAATCTTGCTTTGGTTTTGCAGAGAAAGATGTTTTTATTTCTAACCATTCCATTTAGTGTTTCAGTATGAAGATAGGATATCCTGAGTGTTTAGTAATTTTCACCCATCTGTGCAGGAAATGAAAACTCAATCTACACAGGTTGTGTCCTGTGTGTTATTCCTGTTGTACAGCTGTCTCTTTCACGTTATGTCATTGAATGTAAATTAGTTGAGCCTCAGTCTTCAGATGCTTGTTCTATAATGTTGAAAGCTAAAATGTATCTGTAATTACATCTGCCTACACAATCCCTAAATAGATTCTCAGCACTTGTTTTCAGTTCTAGAAAATCTGGTGATCAGGTTAATTGTGGGGCAGCTGGAGGATTGTTCTTACACTTACAAAACAGAAACTCAGAGATTAAGCAAGTTTGCATTGCCAAGTACTAGGACTGGGCTCTGGTTTCAGCAACCAGGGACCTTAGGCTCTCTTGCCTACTAGTATGCTTGTGGACACGCCCCCAATCACACCAAAGGCATTCCCTTGTACTTGGCTGTAACCATAGCCTGCTTTGCCTTGTTGCTGGGGATTCTTCGAATCCCACCTCGTTTGGTCTGCTCACTCACTCTGACCTCCCCAGAGGTAGTCAGTAAACACTGGCATAAAATGCTGGCATGGGTAAAATAATTTCTATAAATTAGGGGACTCCTTTAATATCTTGTAAGTGGATTCCCAAGGAAAAGATGCACCTTGGATGATGAGGTTATCAAGTCTGTAGTTTGGGGGTTTTAACAGGTTCATTCTTTTGTGAAACATGTCCTAGAGTGTATATAATTCTGTAAGAGATTAAAACCCTTCCAAAGTGGATTAGGAGATAACAGTTAACTTTTGAGTGCTTGGGACGGTGCCTGGCATATATTAAGTGCTTATAATGCATCGTCTCTTTGAATCCTCTATTATACCCCTTTACAGATGAGGAAATAAGTGGTAATTTATGCCCAGGGTTACCCAGCTGAACTGGTGGCAGAGTTGAACCCAGGGAGTTTGAGTCTAGAAAATCCTCTTAATCTCTATAATAACAGCAAAAGTATTGATATTTAATGGCATGTCCTTCTCTAACATGTTAATAGCAAAAGTTAAATGTTCTAGCTCTGCCATTTACTAGCTGTAATATTGGTCAATTAGGCTGAAGAAACTGTCTCAAATATAGTAATTGCTCAGTGTTTACTTCAGGCAGCCAGGAATTGAAGCAGGCGGTAATTAAGGGGGGAAAGCCTTCAGTCACTTTAAAAAGTGGCATGCTCACTGAAGTGGGATAAATCACTACCATGGCAAACAGTGAAAACTGAGAGAGAATAACAACAATAAGACTTGAGGTTCAAGAAGGAATCAAAGAACAAAGACACTGCATTGTACTTTTTAACTGCACAGGTAGTTTTAAATAAATGGAGAAAGCACCTTCCAAAAGTTACACTAGCAGGGAAGATTCCATCAAGCATTTACATAGTAAATTTCTATTTTACAAAAGATTCTTGATCTTTACTTGAACTGTACATGATGAGGGAAAAGGAGCCCCCTCAGGTAGGTGTTCTCTCTGCTTGCAGAAGCAAACTAAAGGACCTAAGATCAGAGGCAAGCCTGGGATGCCAAGATGGGTAAAGAGAAATGATAAAGGGCCATTCGTTAATTCCATGTCTGAGACACTTTTCTAGTGATGCTTACATAAATACTTTAGG